ACAAAGCGACATGACTCGCATTTATTGTTACCAGTCGCCTCCGATACTACTTGTCTTCATCGACCACTTCTTTCTCAGCCCTGCACTTTGCATGCACTTTACGATCTCGGTTAACACGTAATTCCGGAAATGCATTAACATCTGCCCGTCCCCAACCATTAGCAAGGATTTCTACTTACATGTCACTCCATTCTATCTCAAGTCGATTTGTCTCCAAATGGTTTTAACTGACCTGTAACTGCATGTGCTATGTTCCTTCTGCTCGATGAGTACATAGACAACAAACTGAGCCCTTACTTACTAAACCATCTTCGTGTATTATTTCGTTATTGGATTGTTGTTTTTATATACTAACCCCTATTACAATCTAAGCAGTTTCGACGTTTCCATTCAGGCTATTCTATATCGCTACTATGTTCCACCTACCTTAAGATAGACGCCTCAAGACGGTAAGCAATGGAACGCCATAAAAATAGAAAATATAGCTGAAGACTGCACTACTATACGTCTAGTTCATTACGTCACCACTCTCGTCAGGGGTCACTTGCGTTGTTGATAGTGGTGTGGGAAAAAAATTTAAAACTATGTAAATTGCGGCAATGTCCCCCTAAGACAATACCATTGCTTGAAAACACTTTTCGATTCTGAACAGAAAGGCACAATCAGCAGTTATAATAATGTATTAAGATCCATAGAATTTTTAATACTTTTAGCAAATGGACAAGAGAAAACAAGACAGCAAATCTTTACCAGGCGTCTCACAGTTAGAAGATAAATCTTTCCAGAAGACATCACACAATGCGCATCACAATCATCAGACAATCATCACAATCGTTAGTTCGGTATATTATCGCTCCAATTCAACAGCCCCATCCATAGCAGGTCGGTAAGTGGGTGCTAGAGCCGTCTAGGAAAAGCTTGTTCTGATCCACAAAGGTAGGTCTAAGAACGCATGTAGTGAAGCCTTTGGAACGCTCTGGCAAAACTATTCCAGGACCCCAGGCGAAATTAACGCGATCGGCATTAAAATGCATTCATGAGAAAGACAAGTGTCCAAGTTTCAACCTAACTGCAGGTAAGTCCTAAGTTTTCTGGTTCATGGATCCCAGAAAACGAATAGGAACAAAAAACTGCTTAGATTCCTTTTATGTGGCGTCAGGCCATATAAAAGGAAATAAATAAAATCCTCAAAAATTCACAACTAAGCCAAAGCCGCCACTAAATCAAGTACGGGAACCATCCCAAAATACTGCTTACCTTTGTCGGCACCCCATTCTAACGCAATTTTTCGCATATAAAGAACCATAAGAGCGCGGTCGGTCCTTGACAGCATGAGGCCAAACAAGCGTGGCCACTGTTCCCGTGGGAACGTCTCGATAAGCTGATCGAAATTACCAGTTGTAATCAACGAAAAAAGTCGTTGAGGTGCTGATAACTGCTCTAAATTTTGCATTTCTCCATCAAATCAATCAAGACCTATGTCAACCATTTTTAAAACGATACCCACCTGCAATATACCTTTCGGTAACTCGATCTAAAAGATCACGTTGTGAACGTGCGAGCATAAACGCTGTTGCGTAGTCTTTTTGGGCCATCAGCTGATCTATGACCGCTTCATCACCTTCACTGATTAAAGTGTCAAATAGCAACCAGGCGTTTTCATCTGAAAGAATCATCCTAAGTGGTATGGATGGATGCAAATGAACGCTCTCTTGAAAAACATGTATACAATACAAATACAATACAGAAGATCTCTTTCCGACAAGAGTGTATTAACCATAATTTTTAACGTTATCTTAACAGTCGATGACCAAGTACTTGAAGAAAGTCGTTTGTTCGCATTCAGTACCTAGTTGAGAATAATCCAGATCGGACTGCCGAAAGAACTCTTTGTCATTCCCGAAGACGTCATCATCCCATACCGAGCGAACAGCATGACCATTTTGCTAGATAAAAATTATACATAAGCCAACAAATATCCAAAAAAGACAACAAAGTTTCGAGTGGAAATCACACAAAAAAAATATTCCTTGCTCAATTAACATCAAACTTTGGACTGGTGCGTACTATCTCTTTCCAACTGTTTTTTTTTTAGCCGACTCCATCCTCAAAGTAAACAAACAAAATGAATAACGAGCAAGGAATCTTTTACTAATTTTACTGTGTAGAATTTGCTGTACTCATTAACAGCAGAGCAGAAACGGTAGTTAACAGCACCGAACTGGACTTAAATGATTCGAAAAACTGGTCAAAACTTACAATCATTGTATCACGGGAAGAAACTATGCTGACGAACTGACACAAAAAATGTATGTCACAAACAAGAAAATAACTAATGGTGTTACCCGGGCAGGTTAAAAGTAACTGAACCATATAAACCCAGGACTACAACGTTCGTGTGATGTCATAGTCAACTTTCTTCTTGATAGTTTTTCAAATTTTCATCATCAGAAAGAAAAAATGATATAGTCACTCAATCTCAAAAAAAATTAAGGACGCGGAAAAGAATCCTCACTTCTGGTGACGATTGATTTACCGACGACATGATATTGGTAAGTTGTGTGACTTCATTCGAAGTTGTGGATGTTCGTGAGACATGCGATTGTTTGGATTTTAACTCATCACTGCCTGAAAGATGACCTTGCAACGACACATAAAATTTTCTCTTTCCAATCTTTCCAGTCCATCATCTCTCGTATTCCAATATCATAAAAACTGCGATAGGTTAACCTCGGAGTGGACATAACTCACCAAAACCAAGAATTTGTACAAACTCGCGCCGACTTTGCTTGGTATTCACTGCGGCCAAAAATGTCCACAAAATTTGCAAGTTACGATCTTCTGTGCCATGTGCTCTGAGAATAATGAGTGGGAGGTACTTCGAACTTCAATTAAAACACTGCTACAAACTTAACATGAAAGAGAACAGAAAAATTCACAGGTTCCTTTCCCGGTTACGCAGATTTGTAGTTTTTCAACTACGAAGGGAACACATTCCTTAAGTTTACAGAGAATTTTATCAGTGTTTAGACCCTTCGGCCATGTTAATTTATTGGACACTGAATCTATAGACTGAATTTTGCTGAAATATTGCAGAATATATTCGAAACAGGGGTGCGTGTAGCGCAATAATCCAAGGCGCTCTGCAATACACATGGGATCGAACACCGCACCCTAGGCTCACCAAGCCTTCCATCCTTCTGGGGTCAGCAGATTGGTACCAGACTTGTCTGGGAAGATAGCTGACTGACTTAATACATCGATAGGTCACCGCGAGTCATTGTAAAGAACAGATATGCATTCAATGATCTCCAGCGATGCTTAATGAAGTTGAATGCATGTAGTATCCCTCAGGGATTGATCAACTCCGAGAGCTTTATCCTTTTTATATTCGGAAAGAAACTACATTTTAGAAATATGGTAACATATGAAGGGTTTAGCAAAACGTTCATTAAAGTTGTGAAAATCATGGAATGGTCAGAAAAAGTATCAGTTCTGTCTATTCGATCAGGAGTGAAGGTCCCAACTAGCAGTTTGTTGGTAGGTTTTCATAGCATCACGAATCCCCTCCACAAAAACATTGGTATGGACATTCTCCTCCAAGCAACAAAAGTTACACCAAATAAATCGAATTTGAAAACACATGAAGACTGAAACTGGAAGAACAGGTAACGACTGAATCCATACCTGTCTTCGCAGTATGCACCTAGAGACTTTGAATCACATGCGTTTTGTAGTTCCATCGCTGAGTCGTGTAATTCTTGGTCGACGGGAAGCTAGAAATACACCAGTTCCACTTTTAAAAAAATAAGAAAAGAGTTACGTTAGATTTTAACAAGGGCATAATAAAATAACGAGCAACCATGTTTACAATAATCTTCACTCTATACACCTACGATAACCGACCGACACCAATTCTTTTCTAGCTAATCGTGACGGCAGTGTATCTTCATTGATGCTGAAGCAAATGAGGTTTCAACTGCGATATCAAACACTTAGTATAAAGTCCGCATCCGAGAGTATCTATAGCGACAATCTATGAAGGTTGCTGGTTAGCTATTTCTCGGGATAATAGATGCGTATCCTCCCAACGGTTTACCGCCATATCGCGGCTGGCAGATGTTCATGGGTGTCGGACTGCGATGTACAGCAGGACGTTCATTTACCAGCATGGCCTCCCAAGGTGAGAAGTCCGACGTTTCCATCTGGGAGCCCAGCCAATAGTAAACCAGTACCAGGAATCACTACTGCCTTGGCATCAAATTGGTCGCATGGTGGCAAATCTCCCTTGATCTGCAAGGGTGGCGACTGACTATGGTGGTGACGACCTGGGGCAGACTTCAGTCTGGCTGCCCTCGAGTTTCCAGGGACCCATATTGGCTAGGCCAGCAAAAATCCTAAAAAATGCAAATTACGATGAGGCTCGTGCAGCCAGTGGCGACAGGGCACATAAGTATCTAAGTAAGCAAGTATGCGTTTTAGTACATCTACGATGGACTCAGCTCTCAGCCCACTAGCTTCTTCATGCTCACCTGCGGTGCCAAGTCTTCCATCAAGGTGACTTCTCGATCAAGAGCTGATACGAGCGTTCTCAAAATTGGCAAGTTTTTGTTCAGCCTAATTATTGGTAGTAAGAGAACGATATCATTAGAAAAGCAAATATGGTCTACACAGCAGCCATCGGTATTCATTTTCAGGTCAACTTACTTTTTCTCATTGCTCGTTTTCCATCTAAAGCTCTGCCAATTTTGTTGAGGATCATGTAGATGAAGGACGAATAAACGATAAACAACCAGCAGATTGGGCAGCAGTTTCCAGTACTGTGTATGTGAGATTATTCAGCGTTTTAGAGACGCTTCTTCTTGCTTCAGCAGGTCTGATGACGTTGTCCTTCAGTCCTTCTAGCTTACCTTATTAGGCCCGCATTGAAAGGTTGATATGCTAATGCGCGTAGGCTATAATGACCGTAGATCTTTCCCTAAAAGAGTTTAGGCAGACCTTCATTGTTCTGAGGTTTTAGTAGCTTCTTGTACTCGTCCCACTCAGCGACTTTACTGGGGTGGGGGGTGAATCCACCCACTGTACATCGCAGCCCAACAGCCATGAACACCTCCTAGCCACGATTAGCCACGCTGGGCGATACATTCCTTTTTATGTTTTGAAAAATGGGTGAAGACCTGTACAGGAAACATGCATCAGTTTAAAAGAAAAATAAGAAAACGAAAACAAAGGAAAAAGACAGGCTGCAAAAAGAGAAGTATTACCAAATACGTTTTTCTGGCAGAATATTGCTGCCTGAATGTATTCTGTTTCAACTTAATGGTAGTGATATTACATGTAAACGGAGGAATTATTTTGAAATTTAATTTGTGCAATAATCGGAAAAAATTGTATGCGCTGCTTCTTTCGTGATTATAAACTATGACAGTTACGGAATCTATGCAAGAACTTTTCCCATCTAGTTCAATTAAAAAGTGCTGTGAGAAAAGAGATAGGAGCAGTGGAGTACAGACTGTAACGATGATATCGCTTTTGGATATTCCACTACGTCCAGTTTAGACGTTAAGGAAGTTCTACCAAAAAATCGAACAACAAGATATATGACAAGGAGAGTTTAAAACCCTAAACAGCCCAATTTCCAACATAGTTTTTTTATTCCACGTACAGGGCTGAAACCATCAGTCACGATGTTTCGACATAGGATATCATTAATTTGTTATGCTTTCATTCAAAGACTACAAACTGACCATTGCTATTTCAACGCCGTAGTGCCATATCTGTCCTGCCTCATCCCACTGACGATAATGTGTTGCCATTTTCCCACCTAATGCGAATGACGCCCCCACTGGAGCTGCACTCACCCACGCTGGAACGATTGACACGTTTAGCCGTCCCAAAATCGAACTCTGAAAATCCATACTGGATGTGGAGAGTCAAGGCATAAATAACAAAGAAACGCATTTCAAATACAGGTTGCATTAGTGAACACCAGCTCTGAAAGCTGCATGCATAATGCTTACTTTTTGTTTACTGCCTATTATTGTTTTCTTTTTCTCGGCAGGATACAATGTGAAATATAAGCACTACGATGCTAAGATATTTGCAAAACTTCGACCCCAACCCAGGCTCGAACCCGCGATTACCTTCCCGAGTGCTCGAGTACAACTCACTGCACCAGTGAGGATTTCGGTTTGACTTTCCCTAAGCCAGTTTTGTATCTAACGGTGCCAACAGCAATCACCATAACTAGGTACACATTCTGGTGTATAGGTAGTTTGGAAAATACTTTGCCAAAACTAGAGGGTTGATCATGGGAAAGCGATTAGCACCAAACCTTGCCATCGCATTCATCTCTAAGGTTGAAGCGTCAGTTCTCGATCGCAGCCCCTTAATCTACTGCCGATACATAGACGACTGCTTCACCGTCTATTCCATACAAGAACAGATGGACGAGTTCTTTCAATTGTTGAACCGAGAGTCAGAGCATACAAAGTTTACATGGGAAAACCAACCGAGAACTGGTTTCCATTCTTAAACACCAAATTAAGTTCTCAGAAAGTGGTTATATAACAAAACGGTATCGTAAGTCAAGTAGTAAAAAATATACTAGTTCACTACCTCTCCTCTCAACCCTCAAACGTGGAGAAAGCACACATCAAAAACCGAACGGCTAAAAGTGCGTGCACAGAAGGGGAAAGGAAGGAGACGCTAAATATGGCACGAAAAATAGCCATTTCCCATAGCTACGGAGCCGAACGATCAGACAAAAAGGTAGAATTGTTCCCCAAAACAATGTTTCGAACGTAACTAAGACCTCCTCTGAGCCACCCTTCATATCAAATGAAATAAGTTACGCCATTAAGAGATGTTTAAGAAAAAGTGGTTTTGAAAATTATGCGGCAATTATTAACCTTACAACCGCCCCTATAATCGCTTGCACAGTCCAGAAAACTGCATGATATGTCCTAACGAGAGAGATACAGAGACTGCATGAGTCCAGGTACGAGATATTTGTTCTCCCATCCTTATTTCTTTCTCTCAATCCAAAATTTCCGATCCTGTATTCGCTCTCATTGGCCTTTCCTATTCTGGCGCTGAAGTCTACGACAACAAATTTATTATATGCCTTATCACTGCGGATGACTTCCTCCAGCTGATAGTAGAACGCATTTAATTCCTACTTATCAGCTGCGTCGGTCGGTGAGTAGCAGTTGATGATAGTGATCTTCTTACGATGCGACAGCTGAAAACGGAGGACTATGCAATAGGAAAGGATCACGTATGAGTCGACGAGATGGACAATGGACGGGTGGACGACAAAGTCTACGCCACCAACATTTCGTGACGTCACTACCTTTTCTCCACAGATGACAAGGGTCCCGTTGTTTAGTTGGCATATATCGGTTTTCTTGATTTTTGTTTCTTGTAATGCGATCACAAGAAATTTGATGCGATCAGCGGCTACAAGAAAGGTGTGAAGATCGGCGTCTGTGGAGAATGTTCTGGCATTATACGTGCATTGTAAGAAACAATCTCCAAGGCGTATCGTGCGTGTGTTAGTCAGATCCGGTTCCAATAACGTCCTGCGTAACCCGAGATCTCCTGGCCTCTCATCGGTCGTCTCACCGCCTGGTGTCATAGACGGGAGCACCCAGTGTGCGGGGTACTGAGGCTGGCCTATTGCTGGTCGTGCAACTCGATCCACACTGGAGTCCTGACGTAACCTTGCGAGGGCGTATCCAGGTCCTCACCACGATGTGGATCAGAGGGAAATGTGTTTTCGGCGACGAATCCCTCGCTCGATCTTCCTAATAGTTGATTCGGGGAGATGTTTAAACCGAAATCAGAAACGAAAGTAGGAATGAAAGAGTAACCAACCGCTCAAAGACAGTGTAGAAGCCGCAATCCGTCTCGCAGGACTCCTGCCAGCAGCAAGTCTCTTCCATAGAAACTCGCTTTACCAGAAGAAAGAAAGCTGCCGCTGGACATGGGAGTCTCCCAACGGCATGACTCATGCGGAGATCGACCATATTCTGACAAACAGAAGACGGTGCCTACTTGACATATCGGTAGTCCCGTTATTCTGTACTGATTCCGATCACCACCTACTATGCGTGAAGATTCGATTCAGCCGCAACCTGGAAAAGAACTCTTTTCATCCACCACGAGGAAAAAGCCTAGCTGTAGGCTGAGCCTGATGAGAACATTCTGAACGAAGTCCTATCCAAACGTGACTGGCAGATTAAACAATACCCGACCGAAGACTACGAGCTGCTTGTCGAAGGACTGTAAAGCTGTGCCGAATTCCCCTCAGTTCCTCAAGCAAGAAGATCGGATCGCATCTCCATTACTACTAAGAAGTTTCTCGAAAAAGAAGGAAACTGCAGCTTGATCCTATTGCAGCAGATTTAACATGGCTAGTAATATATGCCAGCTGCAGAAGAGCTTGGCAGAAAGATCTACAACGGTACAAGTAGAAGAAACTACTTGAAGCAGTAGAGAAAAGAAGCAGTCTGAAAAAATGCCGCCGGGACATGTGTGATTATAGTGTTCCGCTGTCAGCCCTGATGAACGAAGATCGGATCATGTGAACTACAACTAAGATGATTCTGAGATATTTGTAAAACTCCGGACCGCAGGTGTTTGCGGTGGGGAACGAACGCGCTATTACCCTTTCTGGAGGCCAATGCGTTCACCGCCACACCATGCAGGTCCTTCGCTTCGCCTGTCTTTCAGATAGTCCTATCGATCAGTGCCGTCAGCAATTAACCACCAGCGGGATTGATCTGGGGAGCTCAAATGGCTTAGCTTAACTTAACTTAATAGCTTAACTGGGTATATTGCCGATTTGGGCTCCCTCGATCAATCCCGCTGATGGGCGATTGCTGATGGCACTGATCGATATAACTAGTTGAGACACAGGTGAAACGAACGGCCAGCATGGCATGGTGGTGAACGCGTTAGGCCCCGGAAAGGGTAACAGTGCGTTTGTTCCCACAGCAAGCAGTCCACTCTTCGTTTAGCTCTATATTAAATTTCACTGAAATGACTATGCTGAATATGACAAAGCATTTTGACCGACACTCGATAATTTCACAACTAGTGGGCATACTCTTTGGAAAGATAATTCGAATATAACTCTACCAGTCGACGGTTCTTGATCTAGAATATGCGAGTTTGTCTGGATCAGGATTATTTTAACTCGATTTCGTCCTGTCTTGCCAAATGGCAGTTTAGTTTACGTTATCCGATACCAATCACGTGGTGGTTTTCCTTCATCTTCTCTAACATGTTTCGAGTAAAAAGCACGAGGTCCAAATTATTGAATGAGCATAAACGTAGTTCACCATTCAATGTGTAACGTTATTCACTGACACTGCTCTACTTACCTACCATAGCTTCCAGCTTCTTGTTGTTCACCTACTAAGAAATATCATTTGGAAATCGCTCTAGAAATTGTTCCACCAGAACATTGAAGGCTTTGGACCAATTTGACTGCAAACCCGATATAGAAAGTGTCAGAGATGAATCGTAAGTTCACCAATCGTTTGGTTGCAAACTACTGTCAGGTATAGCACTGAAGCCTATATTGGTCTAACCTCACAGCCTGCTTCAATTGAACGAAATTCGGCTGGATGTTGAAAATACTGAATCGCAAATAAGTCTGGACGAACTTCTGACCATGTGAGTGCACGTACTTTATCATTCTGAAACTCCTTATAAAGTATGGTGAACTAGATCCACTACACATGTATATACTCCAAACGAATCACATCAGAAATTTTGTTCTGCTTCAAGCATAAAAACACCAAAAACCTCCACAAAAAACATTTCAATTGAAGTTCTACTTAAACTAACGCAAAACATACCCGCTGCAGCTGAAGACCCCCATGCACTTCTCCTGTGTCTGGATTGAATACCCTCACGAAACCATCATTTCCCGCAGATACAACCATACGAGGATCATTTCTATGCCTCAAAATTAAGAATAAAATAAGTAATGTGAGAATGTCGCCATGTAAAAATATGAAACCTCCACTAATCAAATGACGAATAAAATTAGTCGAATCTATTATATCATATGTTTCAAAAAACAAAGTCAATACAATCAAAGATAATTCTCAAATAACTGCAGTTCCAAGATTTCCTAAAATGACCGCACGAATTTAACAGTTCTGAACAGCAAAGCCTCCAAACGGTTTACAGCCTCATCGCGGCAGGGAAGTGTACCTAGGTGAAGGGATGCGATGCACAGCGGGGGATTCATCCCCTAACAGGGCCTCCAAAGTAAGAACGAGTTAAGAGCTTCCATTAGGAAGCCCAGCTAAGAGTAAACCAGTACCAGGACCCACCACCGTCCTCGTACCAAAATAACCGCACAGTGGCAAATCACCCCCTGATCCACAAGGACGGCGACTGACTGTGGTGGTGACGACCTGGGGCAGACTTTGACCTGGCCGACCTCGGGACTCCAGGAAACCACGATGGTTAGATCAGCGAAACTACGAGAAAATGGAAATTATGCTGCGGCCCGCACAACCAGTGAAGACGGGTTATCCAAGTGTCCAAATAAACAAGAACAGCAAAGCTATTAGGAAACTAGAGGAGAGAAAACAAATGAGAAAGCATCAAGCACGATTTTTTGGAAACTTTCGCCAGTATTTACTTTTGCCTCTGTCGTTCGTTTTATTTTTTTCAAATTGCTGAATTAAATGCCCTTATATTTGGATATTACCAATTTAACTTCTACTACTTCCGATAAGGTAAAAGATAACGTTTTATCTAAGGACAAAAAAAACGGGGGAAAACAGTGGTATCTTGTCGGCAACTCAGTGGAACAATTTCCATTTCTTCTTGGCACAACCTAAAAACTGATAGCACTTATATGAAGTAGTTGATTCCTTACAATGCAAAAAACCTTTGTCAAACTTATATTTTATAGTATGCTAAAAAGTAACTAAAGATAGAGAACTCCACAAGAAGCACTAGAAGTATATGGTTTTGTCCACTATAGATCGCTTCTCACAAAGGTAAAATAGCAGAAAAAATTGCACTGATTTCAAGGTTTTACGGCTATTATGACGTTCCAAAAATCTAACGGGTCATAGAGAAACTACATGAACACTTAGCAACGTTTATTATAGTCCAATTTAAATATTTCACCATTTGGAAGGTAGGATTAATATTCTTCGACTTTTGCACTATTTTAATATTTACAAGCCCAATTTTAGATGTTACAACAGCTCCAAGAGACATGGAAATACAAAGAAATAAACTATGCTTAAGATAATAAAAAGAATAAAGCTCTCGGCGTTGACCAATCTTTTAACGATGCGCCTTGCATTCGACTTCGTTAAACACCGTTTGGAGCCGATCGAATGCATATCTGGCCTTTACAATTACTCGCGGTTGCCTACCGATGTATCGAGCCAATACTGCTACCCTCCCAGACAAGATGGAAGGCTTAATGGGCCATGGGTGCGGGGATCGATTCCACGTGGTGTAGCAGTGGCGCCTCCAGCCACTGCGCCATACGCGCCCTATGCTTAGATATATTTCAAGAAGTTCAGAAAGGAGTCATTCACTTACTATGGAGAACAAGTTCATCGTCACTTATTTAGACCACCGCGTTCGAGTAGATAAGGATGCTTTTAGAAAAAAAAATGCCTGACAATTAAGGCGGAGACAGAGTTAGAATAACTACTTAAGAAAACCACTCACCTTATAAGGATAACTTCCACCAATTGTCCCATAACTTGCATATAATATAAAATGTCTAATCCACTCACCAATCCATTGCTGTCACACCGCGATCATGCAGATAAAACTCATTGACTGGAGCTGTTGGATAGCGAAGGTCCCATTTTTGAATTCCTGGTGTCAACGCCAACTGACTACCTACGATCAGTGTCGACGAATCACCAGGTTTCCAACAGATATCTGCCCAATCGCATCCACTTCCAAACTTCAAAAATAACAATTTAATTTCCTTCATAACAAATTTTATCATCCCCGCTTCATATCAACCACAGTAACCAAGCCACCTTTATATTATGTTGGCAATATTACCTAACCTATGATAGCAAACTATTACTTGCCTAGAAAACGCCTCAAGGAAGAAAAAAGGCCTCGAGAAAATTATAACCACTTACCTCTGCAAACTCGAGAATTGGTCCACCTGGTCTCCGCATGTCCCATAGACTACCACGATGTGAAGACAACGAGACAACAATGTTGTCAACAGAACGGTTCCAGCGTACTCGTTTCACCTATAAAGCTTTCGCTCACACAGAGTGAACTCTCGAAAAACGTTGGTAATAGAAAAAATGAGTTCGGATATTACACCCAAAATCCGATGTATGAAGAAAAATACCTGATCTGAACACTAAAAGCTTTAAGTATAAATTATGTAAATTACTTGCATTACATTAAACTACATACACTACTTATAAGGAAGCAATAGGAAACACTATTGTATCGCAAGAACAATCGCATTCAAAAAATAAGTTAACACTTCAAGAGCACTGAAAGATACGGTTCTGGTACCTGGTCGGCGAAGTTCGGGTTTCCTGGAGTAAACGGCGTGGTGAGATTTGTTAGGTCCCACAGCAACAATTGAGCCGCACCTCCTGCAGAAATCGCCCATCTGTTGTCAACCGAGTAGTCCACTGACAGTACGTGACCATGGTGATCGCGACGAGAGGAAATGACAGATAGCGCACCATCTGGAAATCCTAGTTAATCGTTGGAAAAAGTCATCAACTGAAAGCACAAATATAAACCTACCATTTACAAACTTGTGAGCATCAATGAAAACAACCGTGCCGTTTTCAGTTCCACCAAAAATCACACCTAAAGGGTGGGAAGACGACATAATAGGCACCCAAGAGAGCTCGTTAAACCTTAAAACAACTCATGTACGTCCCTAATCAAAAATGACAAATTACCACAACACCACATATGAAGCTAAGGCTTGCTTCAAAAGCATATTCTAGTCCACTTCTCCCATACTTTAACGAAATATTACCTGTAATCGCACGGAGTACACCGTGGTTGCGACCTGTGTTGCGGTTTCGAAAGAATTTCGTCGATGGTGATCAGTCCCAGCTGAGACTGGAGATTGGTTGCATTTGGATCGAAGTAGTGAGCATATTCAGCCGTTACCGCCCCATGAAAGGTTGATAATTTTTTACAAAAAAGTAATGAATTAGATGAAAAATCAATAACCAAACGCCTTTGATACAATCATTACTTAACACCATGAGAAAAGCACCCAGTTTTCCTCGTAAAACCTCGACCAACAGATCTCAAAGTCAACACTCTAAGGGAAAACTACGGAGGAAAGCTTTCTTTCTTCTGGAATTACCTTGAATTCGATCCCTGGAGGGCTCCAAGCGAATGTCTCCGGCCGCTGGCGTGCCGCTAACATCGTTTGCTAGCAGACCAGAGTCAGTCTGTGTTATGCTACAAAATGGTATAAGTAAATAACCTTGTAACAACAACGAATAATATTTTGCACGCGAGTTCTGCAGTGAAGAATATCAGAAAGTAATTTTATGCAAGAAAATCGCAACGATTAAGAGATTCGCCAAATTACACGGCCTGAAGGACTGAGATCTCGACCAACAGCTTTCCTTTTACAAACGAACTATTCCTCATTATGGAAAAATATGGATTTCAACTGGATTCGATGCAAAGCAACTGCCTCGCTATGTAGTGGATAGCACGTGAGTGCCGGAAACGGTAATCAGGGATTCGAAGCCTAACGGAGTTTCGAGTTTTGTTCATATCTAAGCGCTCTTTGTGGAAATATGGATTTTAATAACGACGGAAAATCGCAGTTTACAAAAACAGTTTGAATCGGCGAGGGAAAAACACGGTCAAAGCGTTGCTGTCGTAATCACGTCTCACGCGCAGTTCTCATTCTCGTCCTGAGAAATTCGGATTTCTCGCCAGAGAGGTTTTTTGTCAAAAATTAATTATTAATTATTGATGGAAGGACAAGTTCCTTTATGTTGGTATTTCAAAAAAATTCTACAATATGGTGATGGGGTATAAGCATTCTCATCAAGAATTGTAAATTGTTAAATGTAGATTACGTAGAACATTTAACTCTTTCACTTATCTTGAAAATAACCATGGGATGAACCAGAGTTGATCGCCAATTGTTCGAAACTTTCGACTTTCGAGAATTGCTATCATAAGATGAACGAGCAATGAACACTGCAATAGTTGGCGGGATAGCTGGGTTATAAATGTAGACCAAAACGACGAGGTCAACAGATGTTTCTTTAAACCTCAGCGCAAAGACCAGGGCGATTGTTAAAACAGATTCACGAGAACGTGAGTCACATACTAGTCACGAACGGCTGATAGCATTGAAAGAATACGGGATAAAACGTTTATAAATTGCACTGTGCATTCATCTTCATCAGGCATCATTAAGGGTGAATGAATGCGTATCTGGCCGATTAAATGACTTTCAGTGCCCTACCGATGTATTAAGTCAGCCCTGCTACTTTTTCAGAGCAGTCTGCTGCCAATTTTCCAACCGAAGAGGGAAGCAGGACTTCGCTAGCTCGAGGCACGCGTAATCGAACCGTTGGGAGCGTGCGTACTAAGAGGCACCTTTAACCATTGCGCTACATGCGCGTAGACATCGTATAAAAACATATTATGTGTCATACATTCGACTTCATTAAGCATCGCTGGACGTGATCGAATGCATATGTACTTCATACACGGCTTTTACAATATCTCGCGGTAGCCTACCGATGTTTCGAGCCAGTGCTGCTATCCTCACAGACAAGTCTGGTACCAATTTGCCGACCTCGGAAGAATGGAAGGCTTGGTGAGCCTGGGGCGCGGGATCGATCCCATGTGTATTTCAGGGGTTCTCCGACTACTGTGCTCTACGCGCACTTCAGCGAAATTCTATGGTGTTAATATTTGGGGTGAACAGAATATGACGAAGATGCAGTAAAGAAAGTGGAATGCGATCTTAGTAAAAAAGAACAAGGAGGTGCCGAATTTCGTTTTCAATACAGGTATTCCAGATTTTAAGTCGATGACCAAGTTATGCCTCCGTAGCATGCTCTGGTCTTGTGCTAACTTTTTTATGTCAGTGACCGAGTGGATTTGGATTGTAACCTGGTCCGATAGAAAACCCACTCCCTCATTCTTAGCTTTTATTGAATCAGTTGATCTGAGGAGATGAAGGATTTAGTGGATTCGAACACGAGGCTGAAACACCGTGTGCGTTGACGGTGGTGCCTCTCTGCCTTTCCTAAGTTGAGTAAACATCAGTGGGAGTTGTTATGTCCACCATTTCCGTGGAATATTCTCTAGCTAAATAGTCATTTGATATATCTGACACAGCTGGAGTGCTTTTATAGAAATATTGGTAGAAAACTAGTTGTAGAAAACAGAAAAACATTTCTTTCAGTTTGACACAGACATTCACAGTTTCTTGATCTTCGTGACTGTTGCAAGAGCTGAAATGAAAGCAAAGGTTGCAATGCATCTTCAGAAACGGTGCCGTTCATCTACAGAAGCGAGGCCTAAACTCATTCCTCAGAAACAAAACGCTTCAGATCCGCAACATCTTAACTCTATAAAAGTCTCGCGCGTTTACTTTTGTTCCTTTTCCTTTTAAGCAGCACAATTAAAACTCCCTCAAAGAACGATACTTTTACTATCGGCGGTCTCTTTAACGGTCGTCGCTACACATTTCGCTGACCTAGTCAATGTCGAGCAAAGCACGTAAATCGCGCAAATCTGCTAGTTTGAAGATGATTTCATCTATTGTACTGGCAATGATAAACTTCAATGTTAGTTGTATTACTGAGAATTAGTTTGCTTTTCATTAAATGCGGTTCATTTAAGCGTAAAAGGATAAAAGTAAAAGCTCTCGGCGCTGATCAATCCCTGAAAGATGCGTCATGCATTCGAATTCATTATCGTTGGTGGTGATTAGATGCATATCTGGCCTTTACAATAACTCGTAGTGGCCTACCGATGTATCAAGCCAGTGCTCGTATCGTCCCAGAGTAGTCCGGTACCAATTTGTCGTCCTCGGAGTGATGGAATGCTTGATGAGCCACGGGCAAGGGGGTCGATCCCATTTGTGTGTTTCAGAGCACCTCCGACCACTGCGTCACGTGCGCCCTATTTAAGGGTACAATAAGGTTATTTGCTGCGATGAAACCTGATAAAAAGTTTGTTTGGGTGCAACATGATGATTTATTTGCACTGACTTCAGTGCACAGTTATGAGAGTGAGGTGCACGAGATGCACAATAGTGGTTTTCTTTTCTGCACGGGGCCTATTATAGTGTTGTATTTGTGTTCAGTCGATAGTTTACCCAACGCAGATTCCGTATAAGGAGTGTTCCAAAAGAATCTATCCTCTACACTCGATAATTACTAAACAAAAAATGCTTTGTAGACGAGTTGCTTCGCAGTAAAAGAGTTATGTCCAGAGATGTCGCTATTGTGTCTGAACATTCACGTTCCTGTACTTGCACATTTACGGTAATCTATGCCCTACGGTGAGAAATTATATCGTTGAATGGACTTGCATAAATATAAATCTAGTATAAACGTTTACCTCAGAGAAGTACCTCGGTGTTGATACAGTGTGCATTCCTTAATGGGTTTCCTCGCAGTTTGTCTTTAGTGAAGGAATAGAATAGCACCTGCAAATACTGTGCAGTACGCTAGCTTTAAACGAGCTTTATGTTTCTGGTGTAAACCTTCGAATAGTGGAGATGTGAATGTTTGGATGCACACTGGATGTGAATACTGCACTGTGGCGACATCCCTTCGTTCAAACGTCCCTCTATCCCTTTGGAATGCTAAGAAGGTTTACGCTGTGATGTACATTACAGAACTTTGAAGTAACTCCAACGATGAAATATATACAACTCTTCTTTGTTACAGTCTTATTTTACTTCGCATTTGTCACTGTATGGTTGCATTTTCCATAATTAACGTTCTAAACTAGTAGAAAATTAAAGGGGTAAGATTTCTTCTCACATGCCCGGAAATTACTCAGGAAAGGTGGTATAGTATTAAAGCTCTTGAGCCAATAGCAAGGCTGCACTATTGTCTAGCAAAGCATCCACCTGATAGAAATCATGTGAACAAGACAGTACTGAACATTGTAGTAACGGTGAGACGCAAAAAAATAATTCATTATATAGACCATGGGTTGATTGAGCTTTTGTTCTTTTCTGCAAACGATTGAATCACCAGCATCTCTCTACAAATTGAGAGGACACATGATGAGAGACTCTGGCAAGGTTTGGTGGTGTGCCAGAAGAATACCTGTTCTTAGGGGGAGGAATTGGTTATATCGTCATAATAGTTAATCTTCGCGTAATCGCCTAGGACAAAGAGATGGGCATTTTAAACCTCAAAATTTAGTAGAATGCCAGATATAAATTGTTTGTTGTTTCTATATAGTGTTGTATGACAATAAGCAGCCCATTTTAGGCTATTAGTTCCATAAATAACGAGAAGAAGTGTTTCACGATATTAACAAATTTGTGAAGAGTTGTGAGACAAATGGAAAGTTGCCAGAACGTTCTTGAAGGTAGATAACAACGAAAAATCTTACCGTGTAGGTCATAGAGCACTGCTTAGTGTTGTTAAAGAAGCGCCGAAATGAACGCATTTTTAAAAACGTTTCAGGAGCCACTAAAATTTAATCATAAGGCGAACCTAGCGGGTCCTTCCACAAATTTGTCTTCCACTGTGGATCAGGAACTCAACCGCTTTACATTCGACGCTTTCACCATTGGTGCTTTAAGTTTGTAATGTTGTAAAATACACATCCTGCACGACGTTTCTTAAAAACAGGACTGACAAAGTTTTGTATCCGCTTTTATGACTTGTGCGATATACACCACATTGTTTTTAACAGTTGTCCAGGTGTTTACATTGGTGCATTTAATTTTCTTCTGTTTTCACTTTGTTGCTGATATTTCTGGCCTTCCTTTTAGATCTCGTACGATCCTAGAATGTTTACTGAAAATCAGGTATAACTATCGCAGAGATTCTACTGGAGCATACATATTTTGCCGAAGCATAAATTTTCCTCTACCACCCATTTGTGTGTGGTCTAGCACTTTCAGTGCGCTGTGACTTTGCTCCTTCATAAGTCCAAAATAAATCAGGGTAAAATAAAAATAAATCAGAAGGACAAAGCAAAGGCCACAGCGGTGCAGTGGGTTACATGTGAGTTCACCGAAAGGGTAATCGCATGTTCGAATCTAAACTGGAGTAGAAGTTTTGGAATTATTTCAACATCATCGTGATTGAACTTGACATGATACCCTGCGGTGAAAAAGTGGTAGGCAATAGATAAAAGTTAAACATTGTGATATCGACTACAGCCTCACCTTAACTGGATTCAATGCCGATTTGTGCTTCCCAGATCGATCCCTTTGAGTGATATTGGACAGCATATAGAGCTGTCATTCTGATGGGAGGGGCACATTACGCTTCCATGTGAACTCTGTGCGGTTGTTCTCCACGCGACATACTCAGTAGAAGACTCATAGAAAGCGGTGGGTGTGCAAAGCTGTGTTCAAAGTGGCTTAAATCTTGATTTAGCGTTTTCTTTGTTTGGTTATGAAGGTGTTTGCTCGAATATGTTGCTGTCAACTTGACCTTTCCAGGCTTTGAGGAAGGTGAAATCCGCGGAAACGGCTTGTTCGGGAATAAAGAATAAAATAACACCTCGCGTTTGCTCAACAAGAATACTAAGAATTACTCCTAAAACGCTTTGCGTAAATTTCAAAAGCCCAACAATGAACCAGAAGGAGAATGCCTCATCATCACATGTGATCAACGACTTTATTCAAATTGAGGTTTCGACATGGCTGAGTCGCATTAGTAATCCCACGTGAGCAACATGTGGAGAGTCTCACTCATAACAGCAGAGTGAGTAGTTTTTGATCAAAATGGCGTTTATTTATACCTTAAATCTCTATGAATACCATAGATATTTCACTGAATTTTATTAATATCGTTGCATAAAATGTGTCCAGGCTTTGAAGAAGACGAAGTCGCCGAAACGTCGGCCTTCAAATCACAGCGACAACAACGACAGCGACAACTACAACTGATACTAACTGATATCTTCGTGTCAGCTGAGGAAGAGTAGTTTGCAAAAAAAATATATGTGTTTGCCTGTTAAAGTGCTACAATGTTTTTTGGTAGATTAGCCACAGTTTCATCTAGGTACAATGCGAGAGGGCGCAGGAAGACGCCGTTCAGTCCATGAATGTCCTTTGTCCAAGTCCAATGTTCAGTCCTTTTTCGATTCTGCTTTGCGCAAACAAAGCATCCACATCCATTCGGGGTTGAAAAAATGATGCCAGATTACTCTGTGCTCATTTGCTCTCTTCATGTTCATAAAAAAGGAGACCTGCCTGTAATGAAGATCTGAGAACAACCCAGGCGGCTATTCCATGATTTCCGGAAGAGTCGCACTTAGAAGCATTCAGCAAAATTCATAAGGCCAAAAATCCCAAAGTACCGGCCAAACCCACACATGCAGGGACCGCACAATTTGTGGTTACCTGTTACGCAAAGTAACATTAAAAAGTAGAAATTCAAGAGGCCTTGTGAGCAAAAGTCTGTAGACTGTATCAGTTTATAATGCAATTAATAGAGTTCTTCACCAGTTTAAATTGCTGGCTTAAATTTGAAAGTGGTGCTTAGACTCGTCTCCTGTGCACTGAGATGAATTGATGTGTGACGCTTTGAAGGGGCACAACTCAAGCACTCGAATGAATGTCACAGCGGAAATCCTGCTTTTATCTATTCGTTGTTGAACTACTGAGTGGTATGAAGTGTTGTAGTATTTAAAAAATAAATTGAATGCATTCAAGGCTTCTTCTTCTTTAGCAATATCACACCACATGAAGCCTTTCTAAGTCTCTCTCAGTTGTTAGGATTCGTCGCACCGAAGCACTAGTTTATTCTTACTTTAATTCTACGGTGCGCGCAATGACTTTGTTTCTAAGCCACTTTAATTGAAAATCATCAAGGTGGAATTTCCTTTTTTGAATAACCGTGTATCAGTTTTTAACCTTTTTATTTGCTGCTTATTTTTGATGGCAGGGTATGTTGCGAAGTACAACTTCTATAATGCTGAGATATTTGCAAAACTCTGGACCGCAGATGTCTACAGTGGGGAACGAGCGCACTATTGTCCTTACCGGGGAGTAGCGCACTTCACCACCACACCATCCGGGTCCTTCGTTTTGCCTGTCTCTCAGCTAGTTTTGCCACTGCCATCAGCAATCACCCGTTAACATGTATCAAATTGTTTCTAAAGTGGTAAAGTTTATCTTTCTGCTTACTGAATGTCAATTACAACTTCTCAGTCTCTTAGAAAATCCGAATTCGTCTATCCAGTCTGCATCGCAGTGTTTTATCCCACCCTACAAGCAAGTCCTCAACGTTTTTTGTTATAGGAATCAACTGCATCGCTTATGAATCGATCAACAGAAACAGCAGACGTCGTTGAAACATACTACCTTTCGACTGTGATTGTAACTTTACCAATTCATATTGTCACATTTCTATTTATTCTTGTTGTGTTTGCTAGTATTCTGCTCACTACACGTCTACATGTGCGCCCTCGACGATTATTTGCTATCAACTGCGGATTTTTTCTCATCTCTTCATTATACGACCTTGCTTTTGACATTAGTTATTTAGTGATCATTAACAGACAGGTAAAATCGCCTCCCACTACGTTACTGGAAAAAACTCCTGGATCATGTATTGATGAATATAAGAACAATCGCAGTAGCGACGTAAAGATAGACAAAGTGATAATTTCATGAAGTGATGCAAGATGAAACGTGTGATGTTCTAAACGTCACTCCATTCTTAGTTTCAGTGCCTACCTTCACCATATAACCTGTCGGCACGTTGATCGCCGAGTGACTCAAGCGGATGCCAATAAATCTTCCATTTCTCCCTATTGCTTGCAAGAGTGGCACAGTAGGTTCCGCCCTCCATTGGGACTAGTTGAGCATCCTATCCTTCTCCTGCAATTTTGTTAATGAACTCTGACCATTGAGTGGTGGCCTTCCTACAGTACGTTTGACATTCTAAGGAACCCAATCACCATTGGCTCTTGTGGGTTGTCGTTAATTCGCATTACGTGTGCGGCCCACTTTATCCTCGACAGTTTGGCGTATAGAACGGCATCTTTGATTTTCGTTCGCTAACGCAGGTCGGAGCTTCGAATTGCTTCCCTTAGTTTCGTTATACGGTATACTACTAGCATTGTCCTTTCGACTATGCGTTGAATAACGTTGAGTGATCTTCTATCCTACTTAACCAGAGACCAGGATTCTGAAGCTAAGTTGAGGAAGAAAGAGTGGTGAAGTCGAGTAGGTGGACACGGAGTCTGACATTCCTTGTTTTCCCCACTACATCTTCGATGGTGTTGAAAGCTTCCCAAGCCACTTACTTTTTCTCGGTCAACTCTGGAGCTAAGTCGTTCGCCATGTTAATATTCAGATATAAATATGCGTGCCATGGAGATTCCTCATACTAAGGATCACAAGCCGCCTAGTGGCAAGGATGCCTGGCGCGTCTCCAGGTGGCTGATATGGGGTTAATCACGGACCAAAAGCAACCGTATGTTTTTCTGAGAAGCTGGCACAGAATTTCTCTATTTACGAGACGTATTCACCCACGTGTATGTAGATGCGTTCAAGTTTATGCGTATTGTATTCTCCGAGTCAATTCCCCCAGAAGCCTGCAATCAAGTGAGAAGGAAATATACGAGAGGCGGTTAGAAGTCGCCTCCAAGAAATAAACTCCACGTCCACTCTGGGAGAGACTGACAAGCTATCTGAGAGGACACCCAGGCCCACGTTCGGAGCCCAGCAAGCTATACGTGAGTACCAAAATAATAAACACAGTGAAAGAAACCGGCCACATTCGCCTGACTCCGAAACAGCCCCCAATTCGGCAGTGTTGTATAGAATGAGTACAAAAAACCTGCTAAAATCTCAAGACCAATGGAATCAGCCTGGATTGCGAAGAATTAAGGTGACGACCTGTACCTACAATACTTGCATCCGAGTTCTTGATAGAAGAGCTTGTCGTGCAAGCGAGAAGGATAAGGTACAAAGTCATGGGCCTAGCATAAAAGAGACGATACCACCCATTCAACGCCGCCTATGACACCGAAGAAGAACTGCTCCTCGCAACGTGCAACGGTAGAGGAGTCAGAGGAGTTGGCGTTCTCGTCAACACGAGTTTGTTCATGAACATCGATTCATTCGAACAATTAACAACCTGAATCGGGCTTTTACGATTGAATAGATGTGGATCAATACCGGTTTGATAGTCTTTGTCGTTTACGCGCCGACATCAGACTATGACGATGAAGAACTCGAAGTGTTCTTTATGGACTTGGAGAATTTCTACAGAGAAAACCATGGATTCTTCAGAGTCATCATTGTAGATTTTAACGCCAAGATTGGGCTAAGAAGAACGTCTGAAGAACGTCACATTGGTGGAACGAGCACAGTGAGCTGCTGTCTGAGTTTATCATGGCGACGAAGACCATCCATGGTAACTCGAAATTCCAGAAGCCCCACTCTCAACTCTTAACGATGGACATGGGAAGCTCCTAGCAGAAAGTGCCATAAGGAAATAGACCATATCACAGTGGATAGAAGGTTTTGCCTAACTGATGTCGCTGTTATACCACCGTCACTTCACCAATTACAGGACCAAGATGATTGCACTCCGACGTCCAGACGGAACAGTTTCAGCCTCCAAAAAGGTAATGGAGGAAATCATTCACGATTACCATTTAGATCTCGTCAATAACCACGTCCACCTTACGTCATATGAAATAAAGGACGATGGATACGTTGTACCATCGGTTCTCGCCTCCGAAATCCGAGATGACATTTCGTCGGTGAAAAATCGAACAGCACCAGGTTCGGACAGGATAAAACCAGAACATCTGAAGAACCTTCCGCCAGTCCTCTTAAACACACTGGCTCGGCGCTTCACACGTTACCTGTTTGAATGCAAGGTCCCTACCCAGTGGAAGATCAGCAAGACCATGTTACTGTTTAAGAAGGACGACCTGCACGATATCGGCAACTATAGCCTAATCTGCTTGCTGTCTGTCACCCACAAACTTTTCACTCGAGCCATCCTAAACAGGAATAACGGAATACTGGATGAAGGACGGCCGTGTGAGCGAGCAGGGTTTCGAAGGATTTAGTACGATGGACCACATCCACACGATAGCAAGGCTCATCGAAGTATTGCGAGAGTACAAAATACCGCTCTGTTTTACTTTCATCGGTTTAAAAAAGGCCTTTGGCTCAACTGAGATAGATGCAGTCATGGAAGCCGTTGATAGTCAGGGCGTCCCTATTCAGTACATAAAGATTTTTCGTGGGTTGCACAAAAATTTCACAGACAAGATGTCACCATTCTACAAAGATATTAACATCGATGTCAGCAGAGAGGTTAGGCAAGGCGATACCATCTCGCCAAAATTATTTACAGTCACTCTCCAGAACGTTATGCGAACATTGTAATGGGATAATATGGGAATGAAAATCGATGGTCGGCAGTTACATCACCCTCGCCTTGCTGATGACATCGCCCTTATAACACCAAACATTAGGCAGACGGAACGCCGGCCGCCTTTGATAAAGCTTGTGGAAGGGTTGGTCTTCGACTAACTCTCACAAAACGGCGTTCGTAAGGAACGAATTGGTTTTGTATGTCCCATTCACGCTCAGCGGAACGAATATCTCCGAATGCTCCAGTTATGTCTACCTAGGTCAGGAAATCAATATGGTGAACGATTTAGCTCCAGAGTTGACGAGAAGGAAATGAGCGGCTTGGAAGGTTTCAAGAGCCTCGAGAATGTACAGAGGAGAAATACACGACTCCATGCTTATCTTTCCGACTCAACAGAACCTCCTGCCCTAACATATGCATCAGAAACGTGGTCGCTGCGTAAGCAGGATGAAAAATCACTCAGCGTTATTGAACGCGCAGTCGAGAGAACGATGCTGGGAGTATCCCGTTTCACGCAAGTAAGAGAAGAGATCAGAAGCTCCAACCTGCGTCAACGATCAAAAATCAAAGATTCCGTTTTGTACGCCAAACAGTCGAAGATAGAGTGGGCCGGACACGTAATGCGGATGAACGACAACCGGTGAACAGAAGCCTTTAGTGACTGGATTCCTCTGGATGTCAAACGTACTGCGGGAAGACCACTGACCCGATGGTCAGGGTTCTTTACGAAAAGCGTAGAAAAAACTATGATACCCAACGAGTCCCAAGAGCTAGCAGAACCCACTGGGCTACTCTTGTACGCAACAGGAAAAAGTGGAAATTTACTGGCTCGAGTCACTCGACGATCAACGGGACTATAGGTTATACAAGTGAAATGTGGGTAACTGTAGCATTCGGAGATATTCATTTCGCGAGCATGAATGGAACGTACAAAACCAGTTCGCACATACATAGCTTTTGTAGATTAAGTCGAAGATCTCTTTCAGCGGTTTACCGTCTCGTCGTGGTTGGGAGGTGTTCCTGGGTGTCAAGCTGCGAAGTGCAGCAGGTGGATTCATCCCTCCGGCAGTGTCTCCCATGCAAAGAAGAAGTTGGGCGTTTCCACCAGGAAGTTCAATTAAGACTAAACGAGTGCCCGGATCCACCACCGTCTTGGTATCAAACTAGTCGCACAGTGGCACCTCCCTCTGGCCCGCAAGGGCGGCGACTGACTATGGTGGTGACAACCTGTCTCAGATTTTCGTCGCCTTGTCTAACTCTTGTCTTTACGTCGATAACGTCATTATGAAATAGAGATATTTTGGTTGTGAAATGTTTATATAGATTACGAAGATTCTTATATTGAACGAGGACGAATGGTCGAGCAGGTCTGAGATGGCTGCTTTTTCTCAACTTACGCAAAAGCTTTTATTCAATCGATGAAAGTGAAACAGAGCGGTCTCTTGCACTCTCACGACATTTGAATGAGCCCTGTTATCGAATGGATCTAGTCTAATGTACTGAACCCTTTTCGAAACCGTGGTTTCTCACAGCGGTGTCCCTCGTCCAGTGTTCCGCCAATTCTGCTCAAGGTGACTCCAGTGAAAAGTTTGCAGATTAAACACAGATTGGCGTTACTTGCCAATTTCGTGACGGTCCCACTTCTTGAACAACAGCACGATGTTGTTGGTCTTGCACTGAGTAGGAACCTTGTATTCTAACAATTAACATTTAAACAACCGAACCAATGTTTTTCTGAGAATTTTGACGAAAGGTTCTTCACGCGTTTAGATTTTAATTTGTCCGAATCTGGTGTTACTCCATTCTTCACCGCTGAAATAGCGTGTGGAATTTCGGGGGGGGGGGGGGGGGAAAACCGGTGGAACGACATACCCATCTTCGTTAATTTTATATAAGAAGACGTGGCCGTTTTAAAAACCCGAGTCCAAGTGAATGATTTTCCCTATCTCTTTTCTGGAAGCTTTACTGTTCCGTCTGGGTGTCAAAGTGAAATCATTTTGGCTTTGTAATTGGCGAGGTTTCGGTGGGCTTTGCATGTTTTTTCCAGCTTGAGTAGCTTCATTATGAAACACTCCACTGGAAGACTTTCGCGTCCAGCGTTGACAGTGGTGCTTCTGAAATTGCAAGTTGCCATGCATGGTCTTGGTAGTTACGATAAACTCAAACAGCAGCTTACGCTGCTCTTTCCAATCTAATCCTTAGCTCCCAACGTGATTTCTTCAGACGTTCTCCTGAGTCCAATCTTGGCATTAAAATTTCCAATGATGACCTTAAAAAGCGTATGCTCTTTTCTGTAAAACTTCTCCAAGGTCATATAGAGCGCTCGGACTTCGCCTTCGTGAAAGCTTAATGTCGGTGCATAGGCAACGAAGATTGTCAAAGCCGGTATTGATCCACATCGTCTTAACCGCAAACGTCCGTTTCGGTCTGTTAGCTGTTCGTGGCCAAACTCGTGATAACGCGAATAGCAACGCCGCCTAGTCCTCTACTTCGCATATTCCGAAGAACAGCTCTTCTCCATTGTCATGGACGGTGCTGAAAAGATGGCGTCTTTTCGTCCTGACCAGTCCTATGACTTTGTGCCTTATCTTTTTTACCTGCGTAAGTGCGCTGTTGAAGACTAAGGTGCAGCTGTTTATTCTAGGTACAGATCGCCACCTTGATCTTTGCACCCTAAATGGCCCTGAGCTTTTAGAATTCTCTCCGACTCGTCCTTCTTAACGCCGCCGTATCGAAGTTTTACTTTACTTTGTTCACCCTTTTCGTACCCACGAACAGCTTGCTGAGCTCAGAACGTGGGATCTTGGTATACTTAAGGGTAGCTTGCCACTCTTTCCCAGAGTATACCGGAGATTAGCTCTCCGAGGCAATTCCTATTCGCTTCCCACATACTTCCTTGTCTCTTTATTGCAAGCTTTAGGACAAATCGAGCCTTAGAATACTAGCCATATAAACGAGAACACACCCACGCACGTATGCATGAAGGCACCCGCGTGAACACAGAAGGTCCGTGGCTAGTCGGCGCAGCACAAACAGGGAGTTTGTTTCCTGGCTCTACTTGCGCCTCAAGGAATCATGTAGTCGCTTTTGGTCTGCGGTTAACCCCTAATACGCTACTCGGGGTTGCGTCGTTGCCTGGCGACCAGCTGGCGTGAGATCCCTCTATGAGGGAGATCCGTTGCTTCACCACATGACGTATAAAAAGGTAAAGATGTACATGTATTGTAAGTGTCCACCATAGGATTGGTTGGAGAGTTTTTACTGTATCCTTTTACTACTGAGCACAAATTGCAGTAATATTTGATGATTTAAACTTTTCTGGGTAGAGATGATTCTGAACAAGAAAACTTTTATTCGAGGTGGCATCAGAATTTTTAAAAAGATTTCGAATAAACGCTAATAAATGCTGCTCTCAAGCTTTTACTTTGAACTATGATTTTTTCATTGCAGATTACCGTGCAGACATGTTCCATCGTTAGAAACTTCGTTTATAATCCTATCGCAACACAAAGTTTTGTTGATGCATTGGAGCGCTTTTGCATAGCGTTCTTTAATTACGAAATGTCAACGATTACGTGAGCTTTCACTGATGGTCTTCTGTTATTTATACACAACCAATTCCACCAATACCATTAATTGCCCTCAAGCGCATAAGCGTGTCAGAATTCAATTCAAGTACAACTGAAACCTGCTTAGAAACCTTAGAAAGAATGGTGCTAGTTTATTAGTTGAACTAATCTTTATTCTTTGCAAGCTCGGGATCCAGTGCACTGTGCGTTCTTTTCTTCTACGCACCAAGCGTACCCATTAGGCTTTCTTCGCTCACTGAATTTGAGAAGCATCTTGCTTTTCAAGGCGTGAAGCGATTTCTTCGTATTGCCTTCTTGTTACACGGTATTTTGTTGATTGCCAAATGACGTGCAAGATATATCCGTCATCGAACTAGTCCCGCCCCTCACTAATCATGGAAAGCAAAGAGTAAAGAAGTTATTGCAGAATTGTCAGCGAGACTTTGAATTTCATCCTAGAGTGTTTGAAAATCTTTCTATTTATCCGAAAACTATTTTTTCTGCTAAAAAAACTGTTTCAGTGTACTTTCACTCTACACTGCTTTTCCAATGATTTGTGTTGGTATCGCTGTTTACAATACATTTATCTCTACCACTTTTCTACGAACAGATGAGTTTTGTGCTATGGTACGACGTACTAAGTGGACAAATTTCTCACTTGTTCTCACCCAGTGGTAAGTATATAGGACAATCAACCTTCTGAAAATCAACTGTTGCTCACGAAAAAATTTCAGGGCATCAGCTGCCCTCGCTTTTCTAGTTTACATCGCCATTTGGAGAAGAGTGAAACGAAAAACAATGAGCATAAGAATGCTTCCTGCGTTCTCAGTGACATACGAAGCCGTGGAACTGGTGAAGAGCTATAGTGTTCTCTTTTACTTCAAAAATGGTTCAAAAGCACCAGAACCACAGCTGCATAGTGTTATTACTACTGGTCATTAATATATACTAGGAATATGGAAGCGGGTTCTGGAGGAGGAGTCGGAGGAGGTGAGGAAATCGCTCAAATCCTCCGTTTAAGCCTGAAAAATTGAAAAAATCGAAATCAAAACGGGTGCGACAGCACTCGCATCGCTGCCGATGGAGGCGGGATGGGGCCGCAAGGGTGGTCTACGATAGTATTCTCATGGATGGTTTGAATATTCTCAAGGGTAGTTTCCGTGAAAAACTTGGGACGACTAACTAGAATGATCGCCGCGACGGTGGTCCACACGCTGTCTAGGAGGCCTAGAGTATTCTCACGGGTGGTCTGAAGGCCGGAAAACCCTAAAAGGCCGCTGAATACGGCGGGAAGGTAAGGGCATCGCAATCGACGGAGATGGAATGGGGCCAGAGGGGGCGAGACGGGGTCTCAAGGGTGGTCTACCGTAGTATTCTCAGCATTTGCTCTTCGCTTATTCATTTATTGAAAAGCGAATGCTATTTAAAAGAAAGAAGGCATAAATACGAAGGTGGTATGCATAAATAAATAATAAATTAAAAATAAACAAAGGCAGAGTAATACCATTGTAGCGGCAACGATAGTGCAGTGGTTAATTATGTCGTCGATCAGGAAGCAAAGGCGCTAGTTCGATCTCACCTCACCGTTCTCCTCCAATCCACGTGGGAACTCCTTAGCCTGGCTACCTACGAGATTGCAAGGGGAACTGACTCGACCAACATTCTATGAAATTTATACAGAAGACGAAATTTTTAGCACACCTTGAAAAAATATGCAGAATGGTCGAAGATTATTGGAGACGATGAAGACGAGGAAATCGAACCGAATGTAAGAAGTGCTGGCATCCGCATAATAAATGTAATGAGAGGTCACGCACAGTCTAAAAATGGAAATATTATTGTAAACCGACTTTCTCTCAAACTCACCGTTAATGATCAATGTACCGTAATTAGGATGTAGGGCTCTCATGAAGATGGCGTCGAAACATTTGCCGAATAAGTTTTTGATATTAACCCCATGTTAGCTTATCAATGAAATACGACACAATAAAGTGGAGTGTTTAGTGTATCACACGCTACTACTGGGATCCGGCCGTCGTTCGAGTGTTCTTCGTTTGCTGTGTGCTGCCATTAGTTCTTTCCCTACCAAGTGTAGCGTACACATTTCTAAGTGAATCTTCCATTTATCGGAACGATGTGAGTTAATTATCACAAATATCTTCCAGGATTTTCGCTTCGACGTTAGCTATAGGCTGTTCTCTTACAGACTGCTTTTTTTAGTGAGACGTATCTTTTTGCTCCAATATTTTTCGTTTAGATCCTAAACGCTATTGTTATAATCGTTCTCGACTTGATAACTCCACTAACCTTAATTACTTATATCTACTGTATTTCACATATTCGTCTGAGCCTCGCCGATTGTGTCTGTTGGAGTGGAACAGAATACACAGGCAACATAGGAAAATGCGGCTTGAAATTTTCTAGAACTGCTAATGCTCGTATCGTATCACAACGGATGCAGTAAAACAACAAGTGAGAGGCATCATTATGGAACAAACTTGTTCAAGCGCCACTACTATCCTTTTTCATCACAACAGAAAGCTCTACGCACGTTTCTCAGTAGACTGATTAAATGGTTGCTGTATTTTCAGCACGTTTCTCTCCACAGCTCGCGATAACTGTGGATTAGTAAAATGTTTTCAAAAATAACTTCTTGTCGCTGTTTCTGTTGTCACTGTCGTTGTTGTTTTCGTCATTGTTCAATGGCTGACTCATCGGAGATTTCGCCCTCCTCAGATCCGTGCTGTTACGAGTGAGACCAACAACAATGACAACTCATACCAACATCGCATCAGCTCAACAAAATCAGTTCATAAGAACATAGGAATAAATATATCGATTTTTTAAAAATAGTTTGTATGTCCGTAAAATCATACCATTCGTAAAGATCTGTGTTTTAACCGTCAGCAACGTTGTAAAAGTCTGCTGATCATTTGATAAACATCATATTTCGCTTTTACACCTCTAGGGAACAAATGTAGGATTCGTATTACTTCCATTTATGACGTGGAATATCGAAAAATCTCAGATGAAAACGGATTAGAGCGGCGCTCCATTGAAGAGTATCTGACTCGATATGACGGCGAAGATACCCGAACGACTGTGGAGCATCGGCTCGGATCATCGGCGCTAATGGAGACGAAGACGTCGGAAAATTATCCGAATATGCAGTTTTATCAAGCCGTGCTAGCTTAACAATGCAAGAAGGTGTTGATTGCTTGCCGATGATAAATGACAGTCGGCTAGGAAAATATTTTACAAATAGCGGACCAATGAGCTGAATAAATCCCAGTTTATGGTGGTATCGGGACTTCCTTTTCCCAGTTTAGCTGCTTTTTCCCTCCCTCGCAAAAAATGCAATCTTGCAAGAAGGGCCGATAGTTTTGTCCTGTGTATAATTTTGGAAAACAGCGACGTCGGTTAGGATGAACATTCTATTTATTGTGATGTGGTCTATTTCTTCGTAGTACTCTCCATTAATAGACCACCGTTCACCGTTGAGAGTCAGACTTCCTCAACTGCTTGTTACCATCGATGGTCATGGTCGTCATAATAGACTCAGACAGCTGTTCATTCTGCCCGTTCCATTCTAATCGGTAGGTTCTAATGTGACACTCCCCCTCATTCTTCTGAGTACAATCTTATCACTAAAATTTTCAATGATGACCTTGAAGAATGTATGATTTTCTCTATAGAACTTCTCTAAGACCAAATAGAACGTCTCGACTTCATCGTTGTTATACTAGATGTCGGTGCGTAAATAACGAAGAGTGTCAAAGCTAGTATTTATCCAAACCTCTCCAGTCCGAAAGACCCGGTTCGAGCTGTTCGTTTATCGAATGAATCAATATTCATGGCGAAAGTTCTGGTGAAAAGAACACCGATACCGCCGAGTCCTCTGCTGCCACGTGTTTCGAGGAACAGTTCTTCTCCGGTGCCATAGACCGCGTGAAATGGGTAACGTCGTCACGTCTCGGCCAAGCCGATGATGTCGTACGTTGTCCTTCTTGCCTGCATGATCAAGTCCTCTAGTGAGGACTGAGATACAAGTGAGCACGTATTGTAGGAATATATCGCTATCTTAACCTTTGCGATTTTGGCACACAAAATATCCTTGAAATTTTAGGACCCTCTCTGTACATCTACCCAACGTTGCCGTATCGGAGGCTTCTTCGAGATCACGCGAATGAGGCCCATTCATTTTAGCGTGTTCAGCTGTTGATACCCACGTATTGCTTGGCAAGATCTAAACGTTGGGACTGGGTGTACACACGAGTAGCATACCAGGTTCTCCAGGAATGCACGGAGAGCCTATTTGTTGTAAGAGACTACTTAGCTCCTTCGATGCACTTTCCTCTTCCTTGAATGCGGTTTTCTAGCCGAATTCATCGTACGGTGTAATCCTTGTAAATGCAAACACACCCTCGCAACCATGCATGAATAGATCCTCGTAAATACAGGAGACATGCGTCAAATGGGCTCATCAGAAACAGAGAGCCCATAGTGCATAGTCTACCTGTGTTTCAGGAAAGCAAACGGTCGCTTTACCTTCTCCATTAACCGTCTACCCGCCACGAGGACCCGTGCCACGTTGCCTTGCGTCTAACCGACAACAGACCTCTATGAGAGAACTCCATCGTTTTTTGCTACTACCTGTAGCCGTAGCCTGTAGTATCACCTGCGTTCCCGTTGATCTTCGAGTGACTCGAGCGGACGCCAGTAAATTTACCCATTTCTCCCTGTTGCGTGCAGGAGTAGCTCAGTGGGTTCTGCTCGCTCTAGAGACTCGTTAGGCATCATGTCTTTCTTCTACGCTCTTCGTAAAGAATTCTGACCATCGGGTCAGTGGTCTTCCCGCAGTGCGTTTGACATTCCGAGAAATCCAGTCACTAACGGCTTCTGTTGACCGGTTGTCGTTCATGCGCATTACGCGTCAGACCCACCTTATCCCCGACTGTTTGGCGTACGGAACGGCATCTTTGATTTTTGATCTCTGACGCAGCTAGAAGCTTTGGATGCCTTCTCTTGCGTGAAACGGGACGCTCCTAGCACCGTTCTTTTCACTACGCGTTCAATAACGCTGATTTTTCATTCGGCTTACGCAGCGACTAGGTTTCTGACGCATACCTTAGGGCAGGAAGTGCCACTGAGTCGAAAAGGTGGGCACGGAGTCGGGTGATCTTTGTTCTGTTCACTACAACCTCGATACTCTTGAAAGCTTCCCAATCCGATCGTTCCCTTCTACTCAACACTGGAGCTAAGTCGCTCATCATATTGATTTTCCGACCTATGTAGACACAACTGGAGCATTCGGTCATATTCGCTCCGTTGACCGTGAATGGAGCACATGAAACCAATCCGTTCCTTATGAACATCGTTTTATGAGATGTAGTCGAAGACCAATCCTCCCACAGGCTTTATCAAAGTCGGCCGGCGTTCCGCCTGCCTAATGTTTGGTGTTATAAGGAAGATGTCATCAGCAAGGCGAAGATGATGTAACTGCCTACCATCAATTTTCACTCCCATATTATTCCATTCCAATGTTCGAATGACGTTCTGGAGGGTGACGGTAAATAATTTTGGCGAGATGGTATCGCCTTGCCTAACCCCTCTTCCGACATCGATCTTAATATCTTTGTAGAATGGTGGCATCTTGCCTGTGAAATTTTTGTACAACCCACGAAAAATTTATGTACTGAGTAGGGACTTCCTAACTATCAACGGCTTCGATGGCTGCATCTATCTCAGTTGAGTCAAAGGCCCTTTTTAAACCGATGAAGGTGAAACAGAGTGGTCTTTTGTACTCTCGCGATACTTCGATGAACCTTGTTATCTTGTGGATGTGGTCCATCGTACTAAGTCCTTCGAAACCCTGCTTGCTCACATAGCCGTCCTTCGTCCAATATTCTGTCATTCCTGTTTAGGATGACTTGAATCAAAAGTTTGTAGATAACAGATAGTAAGCAGATTAGGCGATAGTTGCCGATATCGTCGAGGTCACCATTTTTGAACATTATCACGCTTTTCCACTGAGTAGGGACCGTGCATTCAGACAGGTAACGTGTGAAGAGCCGAGCCAGTGTGTTTATGAGGACTGGCAGAAGGTTGTTCAGATGTTCCGGTCTAATCTCGTCCGGACCTGGTGCTATTTGATTTTCCACCGACCAAATAGCATGTCGGATTTCGGAAAGGAGAACCAGTGGCACAAATTATCCGTCCTCCTTTATTTCATATGATAGAAGGTGGACGGGGCTATCGAAGAGATCCGATCAGTATTCGTGAATGATTTTCTCCATTGACTTTCTGGAGGATGAAACTGTTTCGGCTGGGCGTCGGAGTGAAATCATTTTAGCAATGTAGTTGGCGAAGCTTTGATGGGCTTTGCGAACGCTTTTTCCAGCTTCTACAGCTTCGGCCATTACTAGTGCTCTTCTCTCCTTAAGATCTTCTTTTATCGACTGTCTGCATTGTTTTGCATGTTCTAACGTTAGTTCGCAGTTGCCTGCAGCTGGTGTGGTTTCACGCTGGCCTATCGGCTCGATAGTTTTTGGAGACAGAGGTCTCTCGGTGATTTTCGAGCTGTCAGCTTTCATTGCGCCATTGTGAAGAGGTTGAATAGGCCGATGTTATTTTTTGTCGGTGTTGTCGAAAACGGCATCTTCCCAACTGCCGACTAGTGAGTTCAATAAGTTCCAATTTATAGTGGTTTTGGAACTTCGTTTTTAAATTTAGCGGCCTTTTCTCCCTTCGGCGAAAAATGGAATCTTGCACGGATGCGGTGGCCTGATCCCGTGTAGAATTATGGGACAACAGCGTCATCGGTTAAGCAAAGCCTTCGGTTTACTATGATGTGGTCTGTTTCATTATGATACCCTCCTTTGGAAGACTCCGAAGTCCGACGTTGAAGACAAGGCTTCTGGAATTGCTAGTTGCCATAGATGGTCTAAGTGATCATGACAATCTCAGAAATCCGCTCACCCTGTTCGTTCTATTCTAATCCGTGGGTCCCAATGTGACGTTCCTCAGACGTTCTCCTTGGTCCAATCTCGGCGTTGAAAACTCGAATGGTGACCTTGAAGAATGTGTGGTCTTCTCTGTAAAACTTCTCCAAGTCCATACAAAACGCTTCGACTCCTTATTCGTTATAACTTGATGTCGGCGCGTAAACGACGAAGAATGTCAATGCTGGAATTGATCCACGTCTTTTTAACCGTAAACGTCCGATTTGGGTTGTAAGTTGTTCGAATGAATCGATGTTCATGGACAAATTCGTGTTGACGAGCAGCGGTTCTTTTCCGCTATCATATACGACACTGAATGGGTCGTCGTCTCGTTTCGGTCAGGCAGGTAGCATTTACCTTATCTTTCCCGCTTGCACGATCAACTCTTCTATTGAGGACTAGGATGCAAGGGTACGCGCATTGTAGGTACAGATCATCACCTTAGTTTTTCGTGATCCAGTCAGCTCCCATTGGCCTTGAGATTTTAGCAGCCTCTCCGCACAAGTCCTACCCAACGCTGCCGAATTGGGGATTGTTTCGGAGTCAGACGAATGAGGCCCGTTTTTTCTACTCTCTTTAGCATTTTGATACCCCACGTATAGCTTACTGGGCTCTGAACGTGGGGCCTGGGTATACTCTCGGGTGGCTTGCCAGTCTCTCCCAAAGAGGACATGGAGTTATTTCTTGGAGGCGACTCCTAACTGCCTCCTGTATATTTCCTTGTCACTTGATTGCAGGATATTGAGCGAATTGAGAGAATACAATACGCATAAACTTGAACGCGCCCACACAGGCGTAGATGAATACGCCTCGTAAATACAGAAAGTATGTGCCAAATCGGCGCAGCAGAAACATGGTGTCCACCTCCTGAGCCCACCTGCGTCTCAGGGAAGCAAAGGTCGCTTTTGTTCCGCGATTAACCCCTCTCCGCCACGTGGGGACGCACCACGTAGCCTCGCGAATAACCTGCTCGAGATCCCTCACATGAGGAACCTCCGTGGATAGAAAGAAGATACACTGGAAAATATCAGCATCAATTTTTTGCTCAAAACGCCGCATTCAAAGTCATAAAGACTGGTAAATTTGCAGAAAAACGGAACTGATTACAAGGAAACCTGACGTCTCAAAATCCAAAATTTTGATAAACTTGATAAACACGAAGCCTCTCTTTACAACGATTATTAAGCAGCCTAAAACTCCGTAAACTGATTAATATCGTAGAATGTTGAGGAAAAAAAACTGAATCCTGATTTCAAACTAATAAGAATGAATGGATATTGAGAAGGGAGAAAAAGCTCATAGGCACACATCAAGTGTAAAAAATTTTCAAGAAGACTTAGGACTTTAAGAAGACTGAAATGGATTCGATAAATTAGCATAACTCTCTATGGCATGCTAGTTTTTCATACCTTCCGAAACCACTGTTGCTTTCGAAAAAATTCTTCGGAGCCATTTTCTTGTCCAAAGAATGTAGAACGAGGTGCTGTGTGGACTGAGGGATGTAGTAGGCGGTTATTGTGCGCAATAGAAAGTCGAAACTCCGATCAGGATGACTACAAGGGGAAGGAAGAAACAATCTTACGACTAAGTGCACGAACATTGATATTTACACTATGCTTGCGATCTCCTGATCAAAATTTCTCCCTTCTGTAATTTACACCCTGGCATTGTCACTGAGTATTTGCTACTTTAATAAACCGGAGCTGATCTTTGTTGGATTTCGCCCTAAACGCTGCATGGCTCATAAATCTCATAAATCCCTTTGTGTGTACACATATCAACCGATATCTGTTCAAGTTTATAGTGAGTTGTTATACATAATGAAAGAAGCGGTCATGCATAACCCATCTTGCCAATGTTGTCCACATGTATACATTGCGTTATTGTACAATGAACAAGAGCAATTAGCGGGAGAAGTATAGAAGTGGACGAAGTCCATTGCATTCAATGTGTTTGCCTACTAATGATTTCTCTTGCTGAGCAGAGCTTTTTTAAAACACTCTTTGGGTTCTACCGACGTCTTACGCAACATAGATGTTGCGCCAGACGTACTCGTCAAACGCTAATCTCTACAGTTGCCAGGATCGACTTTCTATTAACCTTGGCATTGAAATGTGAATGCGTCCTTTCATAGTTCAGTAATCGTGAGGTTGTCAAACAGCATACATTTACTTCCATAGAAAAACACAATACAATACAACAGTTGCTGATGTTTCGTCAGTATCGCCTTCTTCACAGCCTGGAGGGGTATACTGATATACTATCTACTAGGCCAAACGCTTCAATAACACTTACAGAAAGACGAAAAACTCTATGGTAATTGCATGATAAACAGCTTCTCGAAAAACTAGCCGCTTCTTACGTGACTTCCAATGGAGAGGACCAGAGCAGCTGATTACAGTCGCGTATGACCTCTGGGCATTCATCCCTGTTATTCATTGTAGGGTTTTTGGCATTTATTCAAAAGCCTCAAGAAGTTTTCGCGCTGGTGTTTTGGCCTCCTGTGCAAGGATATTGACTTTTACTTCAAAATCGTCTCCGCTATGCTTTTGTACTCTATGTGTGCCCAGTGAGGTACTTTGTCTCAGTTTTCGTTTGCCATTTAGGTATTTTTTTACACGGATACGCAAAGGTCTGCCCATTTCGCCAATGAATTCATCTCCGCAATTATTACAAGAGATCAGGTATATCGTACCTGAACTCATGCAATCACCGTCCCTGCTCTGACTTTCTATTAACCTCGGCGTTGGATTATAAATGCGTCGTTTTCTTTTTCAGCAGTCGCCAGGTGGTTAAACGACACACATTTGCTTCTATAAAAAACACACAATACAACAGTAGTCGACTTTTCGGCAGCATCGCTTTCTGCAGAGCCCGGAAGGGTGTCTTGATATGCAATTTAGTACGCCGAGCGCTTCAATAACGCCTACAGAAAGATGAAAATCGCTATTGAAAGTGCACATTCTCTATTGCACAGGAGACTAAAACACCAGCGCGAAAACTTCTTGAGAAAACTTTTTTAAATTAAATGCCAAAAACCCTACAATGAATAGCAGGGAGGATTCCTCGCCCAGAAGTCATACGCGACCTGACCCCGTATGTTCGCATCTATTTCTGATATGGGATAGTGAAGTCCTCAACCATACGCGACTGTAATCAGCCGTTCTGGCCTTCCCCATTGGAAGTCACGTAAAAGGCGGTGAGTTTTTCGAGAAGCTGTTTATCATGTAATTATCATGGAGTTTTTCGTCTTTTCATAAGTGTTAATGAAGCGTTCGGCCTAGTAGACTGTATATCAGTATACTCCTCCAGGCGCTGAAGAGGGCGATACTGCCGAAGCGTCAGCTACTGTTGTTTCGTATTGTTTTTCTATGGAGGCTAATCTCTACATTTAAAGATTAAGAAAACCTTTTTCTTACAAGTTTATTGACTTGTAGACCAGTTGCAAGTTAACTTTTACTTCGTCGCAATCAATAATTCACAGCATGGAGTGCATTGCCATAAAAATAGCGAACTAGGCGAAACACTTCCAAATGTTGACGTGATTGTATAGAATGACCATGCTAATATGCAGTAAATGGTATACATACTATATATAGTAACAGCAACGCCCTTCGATAATGCGGTGGTATTCTTGACACCAAAAATCCTCCATTTGTTGAAAAATCATTACATATGTGTCGTTTTCTTGTTCAGCAATCGCGAGGTTTTTAAACAGCATACATTTACTTCCATAAAAACACAATACAATACAACGCTAGCTGACGTTTCGGCAGTAACGCCTTCTTCAGAGCCTGGAAGGGTATACTGATATACAATCTACTAGGCCAAACGCTTCAATAACACTTACACAAAGACGAAAGACTCTTTGGTAATTACATGATCAACAACTTCTCGAAGAAACCCACCGCTTTTTCGTGACTTCCAATGATGAAGTTTAGAACAGCTGATTATAGTCGCATGTGGTTGACGACTGCACCATCCCACATCCCACAAGACGATTTTGAAGTAAAAGTCAATATCCTTGCACAGGAGTCCAAAACACCAGCGCGAAAACTCCTAGAGGCTTTTTGGATCAATGCCAAAAACCCTACAATGAATAGCAGGGACGAATGCCCGGAGGTCATACGCGACCTGATCCCGTACGTTCGCATCGATTTTTGATGTGGGATGGTGCAGTCGTCAACCACATGCGACTATAATCAGCTGTTCTAAACTTCCTCATTGGAAGTCACGAAAAAGCGGTGGGTTTTTCGAGAAGTTGTTGATCGTGTAATTACCAAAGAGTCTTTCGTCTTTGTGTAAGTGTTATTGAAGCGTTTGGCCTAGTAGATTGTATATCAGTATACCCTTCCAGGCTTTGAAGAAGGCGTTACTGCCGAAACGTCAGCTAGCGTTGTATTGTATTGTGTTTTTATGGAAGTAAATGTATGCTGTTTAAAAACCTCGCGATTGCTGAACAAGAAAACGACACATTCATATTCCAATGCCGAGGTTAAGAGAAAGTCGATCCTGGGAACAATCATCACATATTTTCAAAAAAGCACTAAGGCTGTAACCGACATGAAATTAGGCGTTATTCTAAGCGGAAGCCACTCAGAGGAAATGGTCGTGCCTTAAGAGTTAGCAGCCCATAGCTGATCTTCATGTCTATTATGCCACAGACGACGGCGAGCGCCTTTCACAGTCATGGGGCTTGAAAAAATTGAGTTTTATTCCAGGAAAGAATTGTGAACATGACAGATCTCATTTTTGTTACATTGTTCGTTTTCTACGTTTTAACTGTTCCTTTTAGCCTGCAATTTCTTGGGTCTCTGTTCTGCTTTGTCGTGTATGCATCGCTCTGGGCTTGGTATAGGCTTCTGTGAGGAAAATTGGAGTAAATTTCACCACTTTGCCGAAGAGAAAACCCTACTGTGCTAAACTAAACTAACACGCTCATTTTCTACAGTATGCCCTGACCCCGTTTTCTTAAAAACTACGGCATGATGCAAGTTGGCCGGAATGTTGTAGACCCGACCGACAGTCGCCCTTGCTGCTTTTGCAAGCGATACATCGACTTCGTCATCGCCGGCACTTTCGGTTGTTTGTTTATCGTCGGTCAGCGTTTTCTGAATACAACGTGTCACTTGATCACCACCCCAATCACGAGGCAAAAATTCCGGATTCGCCATCATCTCCGAAAAAAGAGCTCGTTTTGCCTGAAAAATAATTTAAAAGCAGTAATTAGCATATCGATTTTGCTGTAAGTAGTTTTAAGCCTCGGAATAAACGAGTATAGATAGAAATTTTAAGCCTACGCAGTAAGATCAGTAAGAACTAACAGAGTACAGAGTACATACATATTGAGCGACACAACGAAAAGTGTGTTGCAAAAACAGCAAAAGTTGAAAAGGAACACCTTGCCAGTGTCGAAAAGAAAACGTTGCATTTCATGGTCCTCTATAATGCGAAGTTCCCTCGAGCGAATTGTTAACGTATATACTACGAATTCCATTGCTTTGTCAACTATACTAACAATCTAAATATAGTAGGTGATTTGTTTAAATATTGAACCCAAATAGACCTGTTCGTCACCTTTTGATTCGGCTTTGGTTCGGGTGCTTCAAAAAAGCTTCGTAAAATTGTCTTCTCCTGTCGTCCTTAATGGCATTCTCCAGTAAATGCTGCTTTTTAACGATGGCCAACACTCTCTTTGCAATCATTCGTTGATATTCCGACTGAATAATCATCGTCACTGTTTGTGGAATTGAAACAAATGAGAAGAGGGTCCGCCTGCTTTTTGCTATTGTTTGCCAACAATGATAGTCATGTCTTCGGTACGGCAACCAGTACTAAACAATCAAGGCTTCAATGTTTGTATGTGTCAGCGAAAGAATAGAAAAGAAATAAAAACAACTAAAGCAGCAACGACGTTTCATAGTTTAGGAGCTTCATTCACTCCTCCGAGGATGTTAATAGCTTCCAACCAAAATGACGTAGTAGCTTTTTCTTTGGTGATCTCATAAACTGATCTTGTTGAGCTGATACGAAGTTGGTATAGGTCTTTGTTGTCATTATTGTTGTTGTTGTCGTTGCTTTATCGCTGCTGTTGGTGTTGTTAGTCAATGGCTGACGTTCCGATGATTTCGCCCTACTCAGAGCCGGTGCTGTTACAAGTGGGACTGTAACGAGAATAAAGACCTATACCAATCTCGCATCAACTCAACAAGGCAAGTTTATAAAGCCTTATAAATAAATATATCAACTATTTATGCCGCGTTTCATAGAAAGGCGGTCTTTTGAGACAACCGAGTAGTTTTTTTTGGTCTATACAATTCATAAAATTTTTTGAACACTTCATACAGGATGTTAAGGTGCCGGAGGACGTTGAAATATGTCGAGAGGGCGAAAGGGTGAAAATGCATGAAAGGGAGCAAAGAGAGGAAGGAAAATGTCATTGAAAGAAAAGTCCGAATAAAAATTTGTGCGAATATCTGCCAATCATCTGCCAAAGAAATTTGTTAAAATTCAAAACAGTCCGATTTTTACTTTGTGCACTTTAAGCAACAAATCTCTTGGAGGGACTTATGAGGTACCTATGAGCGTAGTCAGCTCCCACATCAAAAGCTCAGCAAACTGTATGTGGTATCAAATACTAAACACTAAAACAAGTGGGTCTGATTTCTCTAAACCCAAAAGATTCTCGATATGGCAGTGGTGGCAGCGTTATGTAGAGCGAGTAGGGCAGGATGCTAATATCTCAGGGCCATTCTAGACTGCCTAAATCGCAAAAGACTTTGTGACGATTTCTATCTACAATGCACGCACACTAGCATCTAAGTCTTCGATAGAAGCTTGATCATGCAGTCAAGTAGAACAAGGTAGGACGTCATCGAATTGACTGAGACAACAAGGCGCCACCCATTCAATGCTCTCTATGACACCTGAGAAGAACTGTTCCTCGGATCATTCGGCAATACGGGAGTCGACGGCGTCGGTGAGCTCCTGACCAAAGTTTGGCCAAGAACATCGATTCTTTCGAACAACTAACAACGCGAGTCGGACGATTACGATTAAAGAGATATGAATCATCACCGGCTTTGACAATGTTCGTCGTTTACCCGCCGACATCAAGCCACGACGAAGCAGCGTTCTATATGGACTTGGAAAAGTTCTACAGAAAAGGCAACGTATTCTTTAAGGCAATTCATAAAGATTTTAAACGCTAAGATCGAACGCAGGTGAAGGTTTAAGAAAGGTAACATTGGGACCCATGGCTTAGAATGGAACGAGTAGGGTTACTAAGTTTCTGAGTTTGCTATGACGAGTAAGACCATTCATAGAAACTCATAATTCTAGAAACCCTACTCTCCATGCCGCACGTGCAAGTTTTCCAATGGAGAGTACCATAACGAAATAGACCGCACAATAGTAAATCGAAGGTTCTGTCTAATTGATGTCACTGTTAACTCAAAACCTACAATCTACGCGCTCATGAAAAGGCCGGAGGAATCGAAAACCTCCATAAACAGGGATTTATTCAGTTCATTAGTCGGTTCTTTTGAAGATGCCGTTATTAATAGCTTCGACGAACAGTACGATGGGCTCACTCAATATCTTCACGTAGCACTGTGAAAGCTGAGAGTTCGAAAGTCACCAAGGAACGTTTGTCTCCAGCAACACTGGAGGTAATGCGCCAAAGTGGAACCGCCACAACAATAAACAACCTGCGCACAATGACCGAACTTGCTAAACAATTTAGTAATGCGTCGTTTTCTTGTTCAGCAACCGCGAGGTTATTAAACAACATACATTTACTTCCACAGGGAAACACAATACGATGCAACAGTAGCTGACGCTTCGGCAGTATCGCCCTCTTCAGCGCCTGGAGGAGTATACTGATATACAGTCTACTAGGCCAAACGCTTCATTAACACTTATGAAAAGACGAAAAACTCCATGGTAATTACATGATAAACAGCTTCTCGAAGAACTCACCGCTTTTTACGTGACTTCCAATGGGGAAGGCCAGAACAGCTGATTACAGTCGCGTATGGTTGAGAACTTCACTATCCCATATCAGAAATAGATGCGAACATACGGGGTCAGGTCGCGTATGACTTCTGGGCGAGGAATCCTCCCTGCTATTCATTGTAGGGTTTTGGCATTTAATTTAAAAAAGTTTTCTCATGAAGTTTTCGCGCTGGTGTTATAGTCTCCTGTGCAATAGAGAATGTGCACTTTCAATAGCGATTTACATCTTTCTGTAGGCGTTATTGAAGCGCTTGGCGTACTAAATTGCATATCAAGACAACATTGAAGTAATCATTAAATCATTAATCATCATTAATCAGTAATCATTCATCATTGAAGTAAAAGTCAATATCCTTGCACCCTTCCGGGCTCTGCAGAAAGCGATGCTGCCGAAAAGTCGACTACTGTTGTATTGTGTGTTTTTTATAGAAGCAAATGTGTGTCGTTTAACCACCTGGCGACTGCTGAAAAAGAAAACGACGCATTTATAATCCAACGCCGAGGTTAATAGAAAGTCATAGCGGGGACGGTGATTGCATGAGTTCAGGTACGATATACCTGATCTCTTGTAATAATTGCTGAGATGAATATATTGGCGAAACGGGCAGACCTTTGTGTATCCGTATAAAAAACACCTAAATGGCAAACGAAAACTAAGGCAAAGTACCTCACTAGGCACACATAAGGTACAAAAGCATAGTGGAGACGATTTTGAAGTAAAAGTCAATATCCTTGCACAGGAGACCAAAAAAACGCCTGCGCGAAAACTTCTTGAGGCTTTTGAATAAATGCCGAAAACCTTACAATTAATAGCAGGGATGAATGCCCAGAGGTCATGCGCGACCTAACCCCGTATGTTCGCATCAATTTCTGATGTGGGGTGGTGCAGTCATCAACCATTTGCGGATACAATCAGCTGTTCTAACTTTCCTCATTGGAAGTCACGAAAAAAATGCGGTAAGTGCTTCGAGAAGCTGTTGGTCATATAATGGCCATAGAGTTTTCCGTCTTCTTTTTCGCATCAATTTCTGATGTGGCAGGGTGCAGTCATCAACCATATGCGACTATAATCAGCCATTTTTTGAGAAGCTTTTGATCATGTAATTGCAATAGTTTTTCGTCTTTCTCTGAGTGTTATTGAGGCGTTTGGCTTAGTAGATTGTGTATCAGTAAGCCCTTCGAGGCTCTGAAGAAGGCGATACCTCCGAAACGTCAGCTACTGTTGTATTGTATTGTGTTTCTCTATGGAAGTAAATGTATGGTGCTTAACAACCTCGCGATTGTTGAGCAAGGAAACGGCGCATTCACTTTCCAATGCCAAGGTTAATAGAAAGTCGATCCTGGGAGCAATTTAGCAAGGCAAAAAAAGACGATCTCAAAGAAAGAGGAGCAGCAGTTATAGTCTATGCTGAAGAGGCATAGAAAACCATTCCCAAAGCTCACCTGAACTTCGTCAACTACAAAACTAAGATGGTTGCACTGCGGAGCGCCAACAGAACAGTTGCAGCTTCCAGAAAGGCAATGGAGAAAACAATTCGGGTTCCATTAAACGTCAGTGGGAATAATCAGTAATTTTCTACATGGTCCAGTTGACACGAGGCTGGGATAAAAACTTTTATTTGACTAATCTTTCTGCGCCTTCATCTTCTTCAGAGCCACATTGATCCGGATCGATGGCCCACAGCTGGTCGTTGCCAGACATTAGTGTTCGTTTTCGCGTCAAGTCGAATCCACTGGAAGGAGCACTGCTCGAAGGGAGGACTTCACTCAGCTGTGCCGTTTTATACAGGACAAGCATTGGCGAATCCCTGCGATTCAATAGATCTACATTTTGACGAGCACTGCGTTCTGTAAAAGTCGGCAGTTCATTTGCTGGCACATAGTGTAGGAATATCTTAAAAACCGACTTTCATTAGTCCTCGGCATTTAATAGTCGTATTAAAAAGCAGACCACATTGGATGGCGAAAATCGACCACTATCCAACTAGTATAAAAGGTTACCGTCAAGTGAAGTTCGCCATTCGAACGGTGCTCCTTCTACTGCATTCGACAATGGATACCCAGAATAGCAGAACGGCTAGCTGTGGGCTATTATCTCGGATCAGCACGGCTTTGAAGAAAGCGAGAAAACCGAAACGTTAACCGAACGAAAGTTTTCTATTCCAACCTTGTGTTACTCATTCACATAGAAAAGCTCGTGATTATTACTCTGATTTCTTCAATAGCCACGTCCTTCTTTCCTCGTATGGAACAAAAGAGGATGAATATGTCGTCCCATCGGTTCTCTTTTTCAATATCCTATGTACTATTTCGACGGTAAAAGATCGAACAACACCTGATCCGAACAGGATAGGATCTGAACACCTGAACAGCCTGCTCATCAATACGTTACCTCGGCTCTTCACACGTTACCTATCGGAACGCAAGATTCCTATTCTTTAGAAGACCACTAAGACCGTGTTGGTGTTCAAGAAGGATGATCTCCACGATATCGGCAACTATCGGCCAATCTGTCTGTTGTCTGTCGTATATAAACTGTTCACTTGAGTCATCTTGATTAGAATTCACAGTATAATGGTGGAAAAATCACCATGTGAGCAAGCAGAGTTTCGGAAAGGATTAGTACTTCTTGGACCACATCCACACGACACCCAGACTCACTGAACTATCGCGAGAATACGAGAGACCGTTGTCTCACTTTCATCGATTTAAGGAA